TTGCGTCATGCCATTCTGAAAGGAAAATCTGAGGTATTTGATTTTCTTCACATGCAACTCAGATGGATTTCAGCATGGAAGTTCGAAAGTAGGATGCAGTCACAAACCATCATAGGGTGACATGTTACCATAAATAGTGTCCTCATACTCTGGGAGGAGCTTTCAAATAGCCATGACTCTAAGTTTTACACGACACCTGCAGCAAGGCCCACTTGAGAACATTTTTGGAGCTATATGACAAATGCAGGGCTGCAATACAAACCCGAAGGTGTATCAGTTCACCTCAGACTGAAACAGCTAGATGGCGATAAAGAAACTGTTCAAACTGTCAAACAATGGAAACATAGAGGATGACAAGGCTGGACCTCTTGAAGGAGTTGTCAATATTTTTGCATCATGAAAGTTCAATTGCAGACAATGTGGAATATCTTCCAATTGATAACTTCCCGCCACTCGAGGATAGTTCTGAGCTGACATCAGACATCAGGTTTAACATATTTGATGACTCGTCCACTTGTTACGTTAGGGGCTATTGGATCAAGCATTTCCTTGAACTGACAACCCACAGCTGTGGCTCTTCTCAGCCACTGAGGGAAGGGTCTGACAGCTTGGCAAGGCCTCACTAGTACTTTCTTGTTCTAAAGCATATCAGGTGCCTCGAAAGCTCTTCGGGAATCTAATATACCATCCCAGGCTTTCTTTAATTTCATTCAACAACTAGAAAATCGCTTTCTTGCCGTAATAGAGAGCGTGGCGCATGTTTGAGGAGCGTGTGCTGTCTTGTATCGCACACTTTCAGGTCTGGGTAGCTTGGGCATTGCTTAGAGTGCCACAAATGGTTTTTAAAAATGTTTTGCAGAATACGCCTGTGTTGGTATGTTCGATTTTTTAACCGGAACCTGGACAAAGTTTGGTTTCACTCTTCAGTTGCTGTAAAGCAACTAGACAAATTTAACTGTTAATAGTGTATTAACGGAGGTGGTTGCCAAATCAGAAACAAAAAGTGCGTATTAATTGAGCGGTGCAGCTTGCATTCGAAAAATTGGTTTCCCTTATTTGCAGCAAATGTGCATCACGGACCTTTTGCAAAAGTATTTATCCACTTTCTACAGAATTTCTATGTAAAATAGTGTATAGATGCTATAGATATTAGAAAGAAAATGTATCCACTTTTGTATCCCCTGTTTATAGTTTTTTAGCCGCTTTTTTGAGCCCTACTTTCTTTCTGATCAAATGTATTTGTAGGAATGTTTAGGAACGCTGAATATTGTCAGATTCCGAATAGAATTCTCAGTGTTTGGTATTGACTCGCCCGCAGTGTGTTTCAGGCTATGCCAATTGTATGTTTTATAATAGCCGGAAATTGGGAATTCATACTCTTCGCTGTGTGCTTTGCACTCTTATTATACTCTTATGACTGGTAATGACAGTGATGTCTTATTTATTTCTGAACTTACTTCCCGAGCCCGAGTCGGCGTGAAAGCGAATGGACAATTCAGCATGTTCCAAGTGGAACATTTTTGTTAACTTGGTTCCGCTAAAAATCTATTACGATGTGTACGATATGCCGAGCTCCTTCATATTCCTTTATTTTTGTGACTATTATTATATGTTTCTTATAAAACATGCAGAGCGTCTGAAGTAAAGCGTGTATATACGAATGCGGTCCAATAAAATATTTTCGAACCACTTACTGTTGTTGTCCCCAAAATGCTCCACCAGTCAGGAGTCAATGTGGAGGTTGTGTAACATCAATGTTTTACAGTAGAAAAGACAAACAAACAAGATATACTGATCTGTTTTGTGAAGTAGAAATGTTGTCTTGCACATTTTGCACGGATTATATCGTAAAAATTAAAATAAAACTGCGTTAACATTAAAAAAGAAAAAAAAAAAAAAAAAAAGAAACAGCGGCTCCGGGAGCCGAAGGGCTCCCGAGAGCGTAGCGAGGTAGCGAGCAGCGACGCAAGAAGGAAAGATGGAGAGAAAGAGAAGGGTACCGCAGAAACCAGAGTAGAAACGCCCAAACCGAAACCGAAACTAACTTGACCAGAACCGGAACTAGATTGTGTTTAATGCCGCCCGCTAGGAGCGCTAGCTGTCACTCGTCTATCTGGTCCGCTGGGGCCTATGGCTAGGGCCTATGGCAGTGTCCGCTCTTTACCTTGTGTATATTACTCTATGTGCGGCGCGCTTCCCCACTCCACTGTTATGTCCGCAGGTGGAATGCGGTAGCTTTTGCCTGTCATGTGCGTACTATTTGTAACGCATTAAGAAAAATCCCACTCCGGTTGGTAGTACTTCTGAGTAAAATTCAGCAGATACAAATCAGAAGTAAAATCACTGTCATCTTAAGGTTTATGTTTGTTTTAAGGACGCATAGCGAGGAAACACTAGCAGAAATTCTCTACAGTACAAATGAAAATCAGTGATTTTTATTTTAAAGCGATACATTAACCATGGTTGCACAGTGGAGCCTGCTACCATTACCGGAAGGAGAATATAGCTACCATCAATGGTTGACCACTTAGTGCATCATTCAAGCAGAATTCGTTTGGTAGCGGTCATTTCGTCAACATAAAAAAAACTACGCATACCTAGTGAAAAATATAATTTGTATAAGACATTTGTTTATTACATCGGCGCATATGATCAAATAAGATCATATAAGAACATGTCAAAATCAAATAGGAACATATATGGTGATGTAAGCAACATATAAGGTTTTTTATAACTTTTTATATAATCTCATATTGCTTTTATATACTCTTATACGGTTGTCATCTTGTCTTATATGATCTTATATTATTATATGTGCTTACTATATCAAGAAATTGCTTGTACAAATACGATTTATTTTTACTAGGGATTTAATTGTAAAATTAAACTGACTCGTAAATAAAAAAAAAAAAACAAAAAAAAAACAGACATTTAAGACTGCTAACGTGTCGGAATGCGAAAGCATTTTTATATCTAGCGTATTCCTACAAGCTGCGCGTCGTGCTGAGCTCAGCTCTGCAGCCTCTCCGGAGTCCGCCCGGGCGGCTGGGCTCTGCTGGTTCTGCGGCCGGTCGCTGCCTCTTACCGGCGGCCGGGCCGCTGCGCCATGGAGAGGGCTTCTCTCTGGGTGGCGTTCCTTGGAACTACGCCGCGCGCCAGCCAATGGGCTGGCTGCTACAGACTGCAGGCTGCGCTCCACGGGACAGGGGAATTTAGGTGCCGCTTGGCGCGGCTTCAAAAGCTGAAAACGCCGATTCGCTCCATGGGACAGTTAAGGCTTTCGCATTAAAAGGTGATAACGCAATTCGGCGCTTTATTTGTGCGTGATCGGTTTAGCTGGCGATAGGATGCCCCGAAAAAAAAATGACGAGCGCCGTGACAACACACCTTTGGCGCCGCGTTATTGGAGATGTCGAGTCGTAGCGTCGCCTGCGGTCAGACGTAAAGTCAAATAGAGTATTATAGTAGTACTTCGTGGGGCTTACTGTGGCCCCGTGAAGGCCTCAAATGACGGAGTGCTATTGAATACAAATCCTTATCTTAAAAGAGAATAGTTGTTGTGACTGTACCCACTACTTCATATAAGGAGCTGCGTGACTGCCCCTTTAAAGAAGAAACCGTCTTCGGTGGGTTATATTTGTGTTTCTGTGTGTGTTTCCTTTTACCGTCGTTACCTGGATGAGTTTTCTCGCACAAAATGTCAAGCATACATAAAAACACGATTTAGGGTGATACTAATCGGGCGCATATATTTTACTATGAAAAGAAAAAAAATGACTGACTATAGCCAGCAGTTAAAGCGCTCTCTTGAAGACCGAGATGCGATGATCGCTGCAATATTTTCGAGCCAATTTATGTGTACAGGTAACTGAGGAAGGTGACGTGGCTATCGTTCTGCATTTTGCGCCCTCGCAAATCGCACTTCAACGAACTGATGGTGCTGGTAACACGCATTTTGAATTAGGTGATCTTTTGGGAGACGAATGACGAAAATTATTATTATTTTTGTTTTACAGAGTAAACGTTGCGATGTCCAACCTGGCTGCCTTCTCGAGAGCATTTAGTTGCCTCCCTGGAAGAAACATGAGCCCCTTTAAAAAGTGCGCGGTGTGGTGAAGTGGCGTCGACAGAAAAGAAAGAGGGAAACGTACACGTTAATTCGCACTTCTTGTTCTGTATGGTTTCCAGGTACCCGTACAGTGGTTATTAAGGGCTCGTCAACACGCAGCTTCTCATCATCCCTAGGCTTTCAATATAAAAATACTTCAACTCAACGCGCTTCAAACTATCCGCCTTGTCGTAAACACGTCATCATGCACGACAGACTCGCAAATTACCAGGTTAATGTGTAAAGCTTTTGCTGGTTATTCGAAGTACCCTGGAGGCTCGCTCTACTAAGATTTCGGTAATTACGATGTATACCGCCCTTGTCGATAAAAACTTTGACATCTTTTCACCTAGAAAAATATCTGTAATTTTTTTTTTACTTTTCCGAAAAATAAAAATCTGTGATATATAAGAAAGAAGCAAACAGAAAACAGATTGAACTAAATCGTTTGCTGCGCGGCGTAGATACCAGAAAACGCACTGATAAAATTAAATCTAAAACAAAGGATAATAATAGTGCGTTTTTCTTGCATCTACGCAGCGCAGCAAACTATCACAATGTCTAACCAACAAGCTAAAATGCAAGCATTATTGAACTAAATGTGCGCTCGTACTGAGAGTACAACGAGCAAGGTACAGTACCTCGAATCTACTTGAATAGCAGATGGCGGGCGAACACCTACACTGCGCAATTTTTTTTCCACTCTAAAACGGAAAAGCGGAAATCGAAATAAAATCATGCAGCTGTGCAGGTTTTGGGTGTCTGGTTCTCCTGGATCACGGCAGAACAAACATTAGCTGCGCGTATTTTTGCGGATAGGCCCAATGAAACCGTGTGTTAAGCTTTGGTCATAGTTTAAGTTATTTTTTGATTGTGCCTAAAGTGGTTCACAATGCCTTCGTACAGGTCCGACAAAGTGGAGCGAATGAAGAGAGATCCCAAGCACGGGCTTGATTCGCGTTGGAGCTGGATCGTGATCGCATTATTATCGTGGGTGATGCTGGCATCGTCGTTGAGTGTCCGTGTCATGGGCGTTTTATACGTCGGAATTGTGGACTTCTTCGGTGTGACTCGCGAAGAGGCGTCGTGGCCGCTCAGCCTACAAATATCAGCCATCACGATGGGAGGTGAGAAAAGAAAATGTTTTCTCCGCGTACAATACTAAAATATATCCCGAAATACCCGGTATATGGTATTATTTGAGCTTACACGATAAAGTAGGTGCGTGAAAGACTAAGAATGCGAGAAACGTGAATGCGCCTAAACAAGAAGTACCATCGAAGTAACTGTCTAAAAGGTATACAACGAAATATAAAAATTTACAATTATTACGAATTATCAATTACACCAGTATCACCTTTTCAGTTCAGCGTTTTATTCGTCTCGTTATATGCGGTTCGAGTTAGGTAGAAACGTTTGTCTAGTACATGGAATATCTCAAGCAAAAGTCGTATGTTTAAAGACGGGACACAGTTTTGTATCGGGGTATCGTAGTTACAAGGGCTCGCCTCAGAGCATTAGGTTCTTCGAAGTTTCTAGAACGTTGACAAGCTTCCCGGGGTAGCAGCTGGAAAAGCCACAAATTGTATGTGAACGTAAGCGATGTCGTGCAAACGGGTTAAAATAAGAAATATAACTACAACCCTCAATTGTTTGCTTTAACACAGGGGTTCGCAGAGTATGACGAAAATAATAATTTAAACGATGTATCACTGTATCACTCTGAATGACACGAATGAAAGACAATCAAGCTACGTCGATCATGGGCATGAAAGCCTTAACATGGCGTCAGCTAAGAAAAACGCATGACGTGTTTCGCGCTGCTTACATTGTACACTGGGTTCGTGGAAAGCTCAGATGTCGTTAGAATGTGTAGTAATTAGTTGTAGGAAGATGTGATAGTTTGATAACAGTGTTTGAAGTGATTCAAAGTCTTCAATTTTGATTTTATTGAAAAATTGTAGCGAAGAACAGTGTTGACCACCGGAGTCGCCGAATTCACCTTAGAAGAAATGCGTATGCTATCGAAATTAGGCCCCACCTTTGTATCGAAAACGTTCAAAATACCTTCAGACTATTCAGACAAATGAGGTTAAGTTATGAAAATCTGACACCTTATGCGATCCGCTTGTTCTACATTGGACAGGACTCTCAAATTACGAGACTGGTCGTGCTCATTTACCGATGAGAAGAACACCGTTCGCAATGCTCCGACGCCGTGTATTTTTCAAACTCACAGGAAGCAAACGGCCAATGCCACACAACGGACGCCATTAACGTATGAAAATTAAAAACTATTTTTTATATGCACCGCAAAAACGAATCTAAAAACGTTGGTTTACGATTGCGTGTCAGGCGTGATTTATGCGTTTTAAACTAAGAAAGTAAAACCAGAAAAAAGGCGGACGAAGGACGAGAGAAAGTACGCAAACAGAACACTTTGGATGTGTACTTCTGCTTGTCTTTTGTCCGTCTTCGTGCTGTTTTTATTTTCCGAATGACGTAATACTTTTTTAAAGTAAAAAAGTGAGATCTGAGCACGAACAATGCGCATGAGGTTTCATTTGCCCATGGTATTTGAGCACATTGCATTTTTCAGGTGTAATAGAGTTTCGAGCTTCGTTATTCCCTGGGATCCCTGTATCACCGAAAACTATGTCGAGCCGCGATCAGTTGAAATGGTGACATCTCTTTGTCGATAAACCCAAAATTTTCTTTAACGATTGCGTGAGTTGCGTACTCTATATTAATGGTTTCGTGGCTTGTGTATCCTATATCACCAATTGTGTGCTTTTCGTAAACGAAGACCTTGCCTTTGTCACGTTTTACGACAATCACCAGTTTATTGCGCGCAACGGAACCTCACAAAGCAAACAGGGATACAGTGAAATATATTAACAGACAGCGGAGTCCACCTGTATAATGCCCGAGCTAAAGTGTTTTGATGCTGTTGACATTATTTATCGGCCTGATAATAGCGTCGCTTCAGCAAAGGGTGCGTGTGGTATAGGAGCGCGTGCGTGCAAGCATATTTCGAAGGTTTTGTTGCGACACCACGGTAGAACAGCTACATATCCAGAGTGCACTTCCTGCCATGCAAACAACATCCCACGAATATTTTTCCTTTCAAAGTAGCGCATTCTAGATCCCCGTGTGTAGTGTACGTGCGGTTTGCGTACGTAATTTGTTCTTACTCAAAGCGGTAGGATCGTGCTGTTTAAAGTGATACGGGAGACAGAATTTTTAACCTTCATTTTTATCACTCACTCCTGTGTGAGTATAATGATATAAAACGAAGCAATGAAGAGGCATCCTACCAGTAGCTTTAGAACAGCGACGGAAACGCAAGTGCTTCAAACACTCACGTCACATCAATGACGGCCGAGAGTGGCTAACCTCAGTGCCCGCGTGTAGTTTCAAAACGCCGTCATTGGGTGGCCCAAATTCGCGTAAGGGTCTATTCCGGAAACTTTTTTTATACGGTAAACTGCTTCTAGCAAGTACTACCACAAGTCTTGGGGCTTACCAAAATGTCACGAGAATGTACTTGCGACCAAATCGTTCACAAAATCTTATTCTTAGACTACACATCGCGACAGAAAGCTCTCCGAGAAATAATCTGCTTGGGTCGCGATGGCTCCTCACAGTCCACAATATAAAGTGTCCAAATAATTATACTTTTAAGCTCTGCTCGCTGACAGCTAAAGAAGGGGAGGGTGTGCCTTATTCGCGCTTCTTGCTTCGCGATCCTTCTTTTTGTTTCTTATGGGCTAGTTGGCTGCGGAGTTTCAATATGTTCGGGGCAAGTGACACCCGGCCTTTTTTACGTTGTTAAGCCCCAGACAGAAACAAAGGGCATTGATTGTGTTGTTTATAATTATTTCTGTATGAAGAAATCTATTTCTTTAAAAATGGTATTCATAAGTTATTTATTAATTCTACTGTACCCCCGGGGCCTATACTCGGCGTCAACTTTTCTTGGCAATGCAGAGGAAGTTGGCGATAGCCCACGCACAGCCTTATCCAGCGCTCAAAATTGGATAGAAAACACGTGCCTGTACCCTCCACTGCATTGCCAAGAAAAGTTTTCGCCGAGTATAGAAACATTCAGATCTGAGTGGTGATAAATGAAACACTATAAATATTATGAGCAAAGGTTACACATTTGAAAACATGTAGTTACTAACATTTGAGGAATAAATAGCCCTATCAACAATTCGTGTGATTGATGAAAGTAAATGCTTCCAGTAATTCGACACTGTTGAGGGAGGATGAGTAAAATGTGTCATAGCGACAAAATGGGACGCCTACCTCCTAAAGATGATCAAGGCGAGAAGAAACACAAAATTTTGGTGTTATTAGTTGATATTTTAGTATGGCGTTGTATTGGAATATTTTGCGAAATAGGCAGATGCTTGAGATTCTGCGGCGATATACGAGCCTATTTTTATTGAAGTAACATTAGAAGTACGATGATAGTTTATCAAAATGAAAGGCACTGATATATATATATATATATATATATATATATATATATATATATATATATATATATATATATATATATATATATATATATATACTGTAATCGACTTAATTTTCGCGAATTTCGCGAATCGCCAACAATTCGCGCAAAATAGGTCCCGCGAAAAATTACGGTAAAACGTAAACAAATTAAGATCCATATGAAGATCCCACCCCGTCGCGAAAATTAGAACCCGCGAATCATTCGAAAATTTCAGCTTTGACCTAAATGGCGAAATATTGAGCCCGCGAAAAATAAATCGTTTACAGTATATATATATATATATATATATATATATATATATATATATATATATATATATATATATATATATATATATATATATATATATATAGGTAAAAGATGCGTACTGTCGGAGTTACTAATACGAATAAACTTCGTATTATTAACTCCGACAGTACGCACCTTTGACTTATTAACTTTTCCCGGTCCATTGTTTTATATTTACCCTACTTCGCCTATGTATATATAATATGTTGTACAGCCTCAAGTGATTTAGTAAGATCATTTGTTCCAGGACCCCAGATGGAGGCTGCAGATTTATACTTTGATCTGACTAATGGTTTATTTTGAAGTAGCTTTAAAGATGAAGGTGTTTGAAAGAAGTTACGTTTAAGATAACTCAGCATCCTGTTAGCACGGGTAATTATGTGAGAGACATGCAGGTTCCAGGGACGATCGTAGCTTAGGACTGTACTAAGGTATTTGTAAGATTCTACAAATACTAATGGTGTGTTGCCAATCCTGTAAGTAGCACTAAAAGCAGGTTTTTGGGGACATTGGCATTAGTTTGCACTTGGTTATGCGTAATTCGACAGACTAAAGTATACACTATTTAAGATAAAACCCAGACCAGAGCCATTATATATTATTTGGTAAATAGCAAAATTGTCATCAAACAATCTTATCTGAAAGAAAACAATACTCGGTAAGTCATTAATATAGATTAGATAAAGTAAATAACCTAGGTCGAACCCTTGGTGTGCTCCGGAGGAAAAGATGTGAAAGAGGAGCTAATACCATTGAAATGCACAAGTTTGGTGTGATCAGTTAAAAAAAAAGTTTTATCAGATTAAACACGTTACGATCAATATTATGCTTTTTTAATTAAAAAAAAAGATCTTATGTGATACCTTATTAAATGCTTTCGCAAAATCATAAAAAATGCAGTCCATCTGGAGTTTCTGATCAAAAGCAGCATGAAAATCATTTGTAAGGTAGAGTAGTCGCGTTACGCAAGATAATGTTTTCCTAGAACCATGTTGAAAAGCAGAAGAAAAAAATGAAAGCGTTTACAACTTCCTGTAACGCCGAATTAGAGCGCAGCTCTTGAGGAGGAGGAGGGAAGGGTACTGAGGGTCACCTGTTCTCGGGGGCGGGGATCACGTGACCTGGGGTGTGGTCACGTGACCTGAGGTCACGTGACCTTGGTGGGGTCACGTGACCCCTTCCCTAAGGTCACGTGGGGGTCACGTGACCTCGGGGGGTCACGTGATTTTGCGGGTCAGGTGGCCTGGGGTTGTCACGTGACCCCCCAGAAAAATTTCCCCGCTAAATCTAGCGGAAAAATTTCCCCGCTAG